ATGTAAATTTCAGCTAATAAATGAATTTTTAATCAATTTTTGTGTATTATCTATGTTATCAACTAATCGATGTTATCAACCAAATCATCTGGAACCGTTCTGTTGACAGCAAAGATAATTGACTGTAATATTTAAATTAAAAATTTTCCAGACAGACAGTAAATGTAATAATTTGCAAATCTAAAACTGACTTTTATTAAAACATAATATAAATTAAAAATTTTAAAAACTATTGATTTATAAAGATATTCGCAGATATTATTAGATATATTCTTACATATCAATTTTATAGTATAGAATATGAGGAAAAATAATCAATTTGTGATTATTTTTTATGCCATAAACAAAAACAGGGACCACAACTGAGAATCTCTTCCTTGAACTAACAGTAACTAAAATATCAATTTCAATATAAAATTATATCAATTTATTCTTTATCTATTATATTATCAGATTGTGTATAAAATTATAGTTTTCAACAACAACTCAATTGCAAAATGCAATATTTTTTTTACAAACAATAATTTGTTTTATTGGTGTGCTGTTGGGTCAGGTCTATAGTTAACAAACTTAAAGTTATATTGTTTTTGATTAGTAATTATAATTTCTATGCTTTGTTGAGATTCGTTGCACTTTTGATAGAATAAATATTTGGTAACAAAACGCTTATCCCATTTACTTGCTATCAATAAATTATCAATTTTTACAATTATCTGAAGACGACTTACGGTCTGTTTTATAATCACATCTGATATTAGAAATTTAATTTTATGTTTTCCATCACTGGCTGTCATTTAGGGCTTATCACCGAAAATATGGTTTATGTTTATTATATTTTAGCTAAAAATTTATGTCATATAAATCCTAATGTTTTTATATACTTAAGCTTTAATTGACTGATTTTTTAACACTTGACTAGAAATGCCAGTCAAACGGCTCCCAAGTGGGAGATGTGAAGCACAAATTGTATTGAATTAATTAACCATAATTTGCTAAAAGGAACAACTTTTTTTATATTATAGCAAATTGCTATTAAATCCTAAACTCAAATATTACGTGAATTGTAAATAAATTTAATAGATTTTCTTAAATACGAGTTTAAAGCAGTTTTGGTCAGAATCTTGTAATAGACACAAAAACGACCTCTCTCTCTCTCTCTCGGGGCCTACTCTCTACATATCGGTGGGCATTCTTAGTTAGGGTCATTCTTTAGATCAAATAATATCAATTAGAATAATCATTGTTTATAAATCATAATCAAAACATCTCTCTCTCTCTCTCTCTCTCTCTCCATCTCTCTAATCAATTGATGCCTTACTATATGCTTTCAAACGCCGTTAGATTAATATTTTGTCGCAGTATTTGCTGAAAGAAATTGTAATTTAAGTCAGAATTTCATTTATTACATCATTTGATTGATTATATATATTTTCATCGAAATTAATTTATTTGGATATAAATTATATTTATTATGAATTCAAGTCAAATGGCTTTAGAATAAATGTCTCAATAAGAAAAATTTCAAAGACTGGATAAATAAATTACTTTTTATACAATGATATATAATATTAATAAATAATGCTATTAATACTTTATTACATATACAGTACAGTACTGTTAATATTATTACTATTTACATATTGTTAATACAGATAGTTTTGAGACATCTATGGTATTAGACATTTGTATTTCTTCTCATTCTCCTCTATAAATACCAAACTATTATTTGTTTGAATATTACATTATAATAGAGTTTATTATAAAAGTTTGGATAAATTTACATAAATCTATAACAAAAGGGATGAGAAAAATAAAATGAAACACAAGAATATAAAGAAGAGTTTCATTTGAAATGATAATAGAGTAGAGAATTCTGCAGAGAATTTGTTAGGAATTGCACATAACGTGCGAAAGACATGGCATTACGGGAGCGGTTGTAGTGATGATGACTGACAGCCACAGCTCCCGACCAGGAGGTCATCAATGCGTTTGAGGACAACGTTTCCCCGATCGTCGAAATACAGCACATCTAATGCATTCAATTCATTGGCAATACAACAAAGTGTGTCTTCGCTTCTCTTCTTTATCCGTCTCCTGTCTGTCATTGAATAAAAGGGACGCAAATGACCGACACTTGTGAGCGAAGTGTCACTTTTGGTTGAACTCCTTTTGTCCGTTCGTTTAACGCATTTTCCTTCACACAAATATGTTGTGAAGCCTTTTGGGAATATTATAGAAGAAGACCATCCGATGCTCTCGAAATCAATAGAGATCTGACGGCCATTACATACGTTTGGGACATGAGATGAGCCGCCAATTGATGGCATACTATCTGACACTATAAGTGATTCATTGGTCTCTTTGAGTGATGATTCCAGCGATGGATTCAATTCTCTGAATTCATTTCCATCAAAGCTCTCGTCATTCAATACAGAGAATCCATATTTGCCTAACAGTTGTGAATGCAATACAATAATTGAAATCTATTTTTACAATAGATATTAAATTAATAAATTTTAATATTAATATATTTATTGTAAACCTAATGCTATAAATAGATATTGAGAACAGTTAGACGCGAATAAATCGATAAATATTATTAATATTTAAGTCAATATAAACTTATTCTTATGAATTGAAATGTCATATAACGTGAATTTAAAAGATATTATCATAATGTTTTATACAATTTACTTAATTAATTGACAATATAAAAACTCATCGGTAGTATAATAAATATATCAATTAAGTTGTAATATTTTATGCATGTTAAATGTATTCTACTTTATGTCTCAACTTCAATGTATGTCTCATTTAATATAAAAACATATTCAATTCAAATACAATCCATATAATGATGACTTACTATTGGACTCTTTAGGTTTGTTTGAAAAGTTGTGTTTATTATCGGACGTGAAGACAACAATCATTGGCTGTTTATTCATATGATTTCGATATCTATTTGCGAAACGAATTTCATTCATAGCGTTCTCATCGAGTAATGTTTTCACTGATATTTCCAGACCTATTAATTAACAAATATCCATCATTTTTAAACTATCAAATATAATTCAACATTTAATTAAAATTTTTGTGCATAAATAAACACTATATTCTGTAAACAAATTACTTGAAATTATAGTGGTATGTGAATAAAACATTATGTTAAAAGTAAAAGATCTTTACACTAGGTATACCTTAACAATTTGTAACATGCATTATTTTCTCGGTAACAATATAAGAAATTACAATTATAAATAATTAAGTGTTATTCATAATTTAATGACAACCAAATCGAGAATATCTAACATATTATAGTTAATAAACATGTTGACTAATTTGTTAATGATCTTTCTATGAATAATCTCAAAATTGTTTTAAAATAAATGATTCATTTAAAATGAATAACAAATTGTTATTAACAACATCATTTTAATTAATTATTTTATTCAATCTTCAGTTTTGATTCACAAATAAAATAAAATAGTAGCATGATATTTACAAATAGATCATTATAAAGTCTATAAATTATGTTATCATGTGGAAGATTTCCTATAAATTTTCCTCAAGAATTTACTTTACCCATGTACTAATTAAAATAATTAAATGTCATATAAAATATATTATTAAGAGCTAATTAACTATTATTGGTATACAAAATAATAATCAATAATAAAAACTCAATCAATCTTTAATCTATATACAAATGTGTGTACAGACCGTACAAAAAGCAAAATTCTTTGACGAATTGTTTAACACAAAAAACAGAATTTCTTTGAACTTATGTTAAACTAATTTACAGTAAAAATAAGAGAAATGTTAGAAAAGGCTTTTATTTTCACTGACAAAAACCGTGTAATCAGTCTCTGAGCTCTCATTTAATTCAATGCTTTATTAGTGCAGGTCTTGAGTCTTAAGCTCTAAAACTCTATAAATAAAAATACCTAAACCTAACGTAAAATACATCAAAATATACTGTAAATACTGTATGAATAGGTTTGAGAGTAGTTTAACTAAGTTAGTTACAGCGATTACTTCTATAGATCATATTTTGATAAACTATTTTTAATGGTCTAATTGATAGTATAAAGTATATAAATAATTTTTAAAATCAATATTGAAAGTAATAAAATACAAGTATGGGAACGTTCACATATTACGTTCGCACTTTTTAAGAAATCTAGACCCCCCTCCCCCCTATGTTCGCACTTTGTTCGCATGTAGTCATTTTTAAAAATAACGTTCGCATGTGTCTAACAC